CCCTCCCCCCCCCCCCCCCCCCCCCCCTCTCTCTCTCTCTCTCTCTCTCTCTCTCTCTCTGTGTGTGTGTGTGTGTGTGTGTGTGTTTATACACATTCAAGACAGTTGTCAGTGTCTGGTCTGATCCCACTGGCCTATAACCCTATAAATCCATATTTCTACTCATTGCCTAAGTCCTCTGCCTGGTGTCCAATTTGGCTCCTTTACAACTCCGAGCTATTTATAAAGGGACTGAACAAGCTGAGTGTCAGGGCAGGTCAGGATTGTCGGATCAAGGTCATTTTGAATGGAGAAGGAGAAATGGTCTTTCATCCCTATCGCTGCTAAGGCTTCCCCACTAATCAGGCACATGCCATGTGAAGTCCCTTAGAGCCCTCACAGAGCACCTGGCTGCAATCCAGTTAGAGGCAGAAGCCACCCTTACAAATCCAACAGCTTGATGGGTGGGAAGAACCCTCTCTGGTCTCCTGTGTAAGGAGAAACTGCTGAGAAGAACAGGAGTTTCTTGCCGCCCATCCAACTCACCTGGACTTTTCCGCCATTATCTAACTGAATGGGGACAGCTTGGGCTTTGGAGTCAGACATAGGTTCCATTTGTTGTGCCCCTATTTGCTAGCTGAATATGCTTGTTTGAGCCTCAGTTTCCCTATCTGCAAAATGGAGACAATAAATATCAATTGTGCTGGCTTGCTTAACTGGACAGTGAGTGCATGTTCTAGACAGTGGACTTCTAGGCACTCTGCCACCCTTCCCCATCCCCAGAGCCACTGCTACTGAATTGGGAAAGGACATCTGATTCCATGGGAACACCTCTTCCTTCTAAAGCTCAAGTCCTCCAGTCCTCAGGGGCAGTGCACAGCTGTCTCCTCCACATGTCGGGCCTGACCACTGCTGCTTCCACCCCCCCTACTTCCTCTGTCTTCCCACACCAGTGTTCCTGCAGGGTGTGGCTGCCTTTGGTGTGACTGGGTGATCCATGTGCTCAAGGCTGCTGGGAGACAAGCCTCAGCTCATACTTTTCCATGCCCATGCCAATTGGCAGGCTCCTCTCCCATCGTGTGATCTGACCCATGAGATCAGCAGGGGTTTGGGCCCGTAACAGGGGAAGGAGAGGGCTCCTGTGTGCTGTCCGGAACCTGGCCTGCAGTGTCCCTGTGTGTACTCCCACTCGGCACTGAATACGTGGTACTCAGTACAGCTCATGGCCTATGTGTCCTCGCACCCTACCTGGGCTCGCAGACGGTCCACCTCCTCTGACAGGTTCTGTCGCTCCAGGAGAAGCTGATTCTGCTTGTTGAGCAACTGCACCAGCTGCTGGGCTGTGGCCTGGCCGTGCTTATCCAGCTGCCTGAGTCTGTAGAAAAGAATTGGAGACGGGTTCTGGGGGCTGGTTGTTTGGAGAGCACAGAGAACAGTGAGAGGTGTCAGCTCCATCCGTTATATGTGTTAACATGCCAGCACTATGCCGGAAGAAATGGCTTACTTTGGCTTATGTATTTATAAGTTTCAACCCATGATTAGTTTCCTGCATTCATCCCACAATCAGCTGTATGGCTTTGGGTCTGTGACAAGGCAGTTTCCCTTGTTTAGGCGTCTGTGATAGAAGTCCTCACTTCAAGGAGGATAGGAAATGGAGAGGAAGCCAATGTCAGGATCACACCCACAACAACCCAACTTCCTCCCATTAGGTTCCTCCCTTTAACATGGGACCTGAGAACAAAGCCTGCAAACAGAAACCAGGGAGATGGACAGACAGTGGAGATGGAGCCTTAACTGTGTGCATAGCTGTGGAAGCTCCTGAGAGCGCAGAGACATGCAAGTACAGGGCAGCAAATGACAAGGCAAACAACAGTCCCCTCAACATCTTTTTCAAGTTGGGTATAGAAGAAAACCTGAGGCCTTAGACTCATAAGCAGAGGTTAAAAAAAAAAAAAAGGCCTAAATGCCTGCATTGTTTATCTGGGAGTGGCTGGGGCAGACTGGCTAGGGATGGGGTGACGCTCCAGAAACCCTGAACCAAGGACTTTCCATTCTAACCCCTGTAGCCATAGGCTATGGCATTGCTGACCAGCTGTCTTCAAAGATCCTAAATTTGTCCTTCTGCTGATAGGCTCTCCTCCCCAGACTTGCTAATTCACTCCAGCCATTATCCTCATCCGTCCACAGACAGCCCAGGCAGTCACATGAGCACACGTGCCCATGGAAGGCAGCTTTGCGTTAAATTTAGAGTGGAGTTGCTGCCCAGAGCTTCTCTGGAAAGAAAGGCGCAGTGCAGTCTTCCTCGGCCCCCAGGGGCAGGAGCAGCACTGCTGAGTGCGGATGGCACAAGCTCCATGTGCATCTCAAATGCCAGGCTCCTACACCTGGTGGCCCATGCATGCAGCTGCTGACCTGGGGGCGCCTCTCTGCAGGCTCTCCTCAGGTAGTGCTTCTGGGGCTTCCAGCACAGGCCATATTACAGAGCCACACCTTAAGGCCTTGGGACATTTTGTTTACTAAAAATGGGATAGTGTCTGGCTATAAGCTCAATGCATTTCTGGAAATCTGGCAATAGTCTAGTATTTTACACACACATGCATATGCACGCACGCACACACACAGACCACAAAGCAGGGTATAACCTGCTCCCATCTGCCTTTCTCTGTACACACAGGACTGGGCCACAGTCACTGCTTCCTAGTTAGTCCCAGCCCCATCACCTCTTGCCAGCACTTAGTGAGCCCCCTACTTCCACTCACACGGGGTCAGGGGTTCTCAGCTGGGGCATCCTACTGTGCCTGACGAGAACATGGAGGCAGTGCACTGCACATCAGTGCCCCACCCCAGGCTTCCGTGGTCCTCTTCTATTGTTCAGATGATGGAAGGGCCAAGGGGCCTAGCTTGGCTTCCTCCCCAGTGACCCCATCAAACCTGAGCTCACTGCCCAATAAGGGTTTCCTGCCTGTGTCTGTGCCACATCCTTCCTCTGCCCTTGGAGAAGGAACCACAGGCTTCCACTCCAACACAAGGTAAAAGGGCAGAGGTTTCTGTGGGGCCAGTCTCTGTGCTAATCCAAGGAGGGGACTGACCTGTCTGAAGCTTGGGGGGCATGCTGCTGCCTGGGCACACATCCCCATTCCTTGTAGCACTCTGCTCTGCTGTAGGCCTGGAGTGCTCCCACAGGGCCACTGACAGCCTTGCTTTTCTGAGAAGCAGTTAACTGTTCCCTGTTCCAGTCAGCAGCTGAGGAGCACCATGGGGAGCAGCAGGGCTGTGGAGCCCCAAGGTAGCTTCCCTCAGAGTAAGTCCTATTGGGGTAGTGGCTTTTGGCTTCCTGCTTCTGAGAACAAGTGGGGCAGGAACATGACGTTTATGAGCAATCTGGATGTTTATAAGCCTGGAGTGGAGGTGGAGTACAAAGGCTTCCTGCATGGGCACCCATGGAGGAAGTGTGAGGTCCTGAGACCTAAACCTGGACCCCTCCCTCCTGGAAGGAGGCATTCCTCTACCCAGGCCTCTTTGTTGTTCAGGCTGGTCTCAAACTCACTGGCTCAATGTTCAAGCCATACTCCGGCCTCTCTTTGCCTCCCAAGTAGTTTTTACTCTGACCACACACCATTGCACCAGACTTGGCTGCTGTTTCAAACCAACTTGATCACTCTATGTAGTTGGTCTTGGATATGATTTTCTTCCATTTAAAAAAAAAAAGTGCCCCTTTCTGTTTTGGGAGCAGCCCGATATTTTCACTCCATATACTACAAGGAAGTCAAACATACTCAGAAACTGAAAAACACCCCAACTGTACATTTTCTGAAAAAAGTATAGACAGAATTTAGAGAAAATGGGTCTGTTGAGGAAACCCACTCTGGAAGCTCTCTGAAGTTACACCCTGTATACCAGGAGAACGGACTTCTATTAATTTGAAAGTTGTTTTAGAAATATTGCCCAGACAAGCCTGCACTGTATACGACAGTAGGGACTCTATTACAAGAAGCAGTTTCTTGGTCAGTCCTATGACAAATAAGCTATATGTCACTGTGGTCATTTTCTGATGACCTAAACTGACAACGGATAACAGTCGCCAACATTTGCTGAACCCTGGACTTACAGCTTCACACTGGTTATTCAGTTATAATCCTCTCAAGTACCTTCGAGTCACCATGCCCATTTTACAGATAGCAAAACTGAAGGTGATGAGTTAATTAACTTGCGTAAGTCCTGCCTGTACCTGGCAGAGCCTGCAATCAAATGCAGGCAGTGGCCACGTGGCTATCTCCCCAAGCCCACCAAGCTTTGGGGACATTTCCAGAGCCCTCACCATGCTCTTCAGCTCTGCGTGGCTGTGATGAGAGCAATGCCTGGAAGGAGGAAGGTTTCAGTTCATGGGTTCCTGGGTTCCAGATCCGGGGGGTGGGGAGCACAGGAAGTCACTCACCTCCCGGCAGTTAGGAAGCAGACAGACAAGAGGGGCCATAGTCCCGTTCTCCCCTTGTGCCCCCCACAACCTGACTTTTTCCCCAATAAGCCTCCCTTCTTAGAAGTTCTGCCACAGGCTGGCCCGACCGTGGCAAGTGCTAAGGTGACTCTGCCCTCAGCAGATGTGTAACTCAAACAGGTGCCAAGGTCAAGATGGCAGATGTGTGGTCTGGAAAGGCACACGCCAAGCCCAGCACTCACTGTCCAGGGCGATGTGCTTAGTGCTGTGCAAAAGCGAAACCCAGTGCTCGCCACAATTCCACGAGTTAGGAGCTATAAGCCCACTTTCAGGATAAGCAGACTGAGGCAAAAGTAGTTTAGTCACCTGGCTAGCAGGCTGTGATATGAAGAGATGAGCGGTACTTGTCTGTCAGGGGCCAAATAGCCCCTCAGCCTTTGGCAACTCCAGCATTTTCCCTCCTCACTGCGGTGTCTGCGCAGGCTCACCCCTGCCTGCTCCCCTCTCCTCACTGGGGTGTCTGCGCAGGCTCACCCCTGCCTGCTCCCCTCTCCTCACTGGGGTATCTGCGCAGGCTCACCCCTGCCTGCTGCTCCCCCTAAGTGGCAAGAGCTGCTTTCAGTGTCAGGTCTCATTCCAGTCTGTCATTTTGACATGAGGAAGCTTCATGGCTTTAGCGTCTCCTCTACAGTGTGTTAAATAGTGACGGGAACAAGAGGGAAGCTGCTCCGAGGCCTGTGCAGATGTGGTTGGAAGGCAGCCCTTCCAGGAAGGCACCTCACAGGCAGCAAGCCACACTCAGGCTCCACACTGCCAGGAAGAGGCACGAGCTCTCAGGACAAAGACCTTACTTGGTTCAATGCGTCTTCTCTAGGCTGCTCTCTCACCCTAACAATGTGTGGCCATTTTCACTTGTTCCTGGGTACTGAGGCTGTCAGAGAATGACTGTTCCATGAGAAAGGACATTTTTTTTTTTTTAAAACCAGGCAGGTGCTGATGGGCTACCTGGGCCACATGGCCCCCACTTTAGGGACTCGAGTGTGTAGAACCACCACCGCTGGGGGCAGCAGGACGGGCTGCCAGCCCGGGGCCTGGGCTTCAGACAGACATGCCTCTGCTGTGAACACTGTGAGCGCTAGCGAATGCATACACTCGCGTTTCTCTGTTGTTTGTGAGAAGAGGATATATGTGTAGCATGTGAGCTGGGAGGTCTAAAATCTAAAGACTGTTTAGATGCCTCTACCGCTCCAAGCTGATCCGGTCTTTCTGCCCAGGGTCACCATCCCTCTCCTGCACACAATTCTACTGGGTGCCTCCCACGGACAAGATGGTGGAGACTTTAGTTTGGTTTTGAAAGGCTGGTGTTTTGTTTTGTTTGAGATTTTGCTGTAGTGGTAAAATGACTTTTGTTCTGAAATGTTCTCCTTCCCTGTGGAGATTCTGACGGCTCTTCCTTCCTCTTCTTAGATACGCATTCTAAGAAAGTTTAGAACCACACTTTCCCTGGGAGAGGAGTCTACTCATAAAATTAAGGACATTTTCCAAACAACATACGGATCTTAAAAGTGTGAATGTTTTAACTGTAAGGTATGTTTGGTTCTCTGCTCCTAGTGAGGCTTTCCCATTGACTAAGCACCTTGGGACCGGGCTGTGAGCATCTGACAGACATTACACACACTCTGACCTCGTGTGTGGAGGAGCAGCAGAGGGGCAGACCTGCAAGTTCCTATACTCCCCAAAGTTGGACTGATGACCAGTGTTTTGAATTGCTCAAACATAATTTGCAATCCCAGCACTTACAGCTGAGATGAAGGCAGTAGGACCAGGAGTTCAAAGTGGGCCTCAGCCACACAAGTGGGACGCCAGCCCACGACATGAGACCCTGTTTCAAAATAACAACAACCCCTTTCCTGGGGTCTTCTGCTTCTATCTGCCTTTCC